CGTCCCGTCCCGTCCCGTCCCGTCCATCTCGCGCAGCGCGGGCCATGCCGACAAGCCTCAGTGCCAGCAACGGGGCAGGGCTGCCTTCTAGTCCTGGTGGGATCACCGGGGATACGGTGCCGCCGGTGTGGCAGCGACTGTCCCAAACCGGGAACGGTGCACCAGTTTGAGGCCTTCCAGAGGCCTGATTATTGGCAGCGGCAGGAATTTTCACCTTAAAACACAAAAAGAGCAGGCGCGCCTAGCAGCCCTGCGGAGACATCGCGACCGCGGAAAACGGTGCCGGGCTCCAGCACTGCCCCCTCGCGGCTCTGAGGAGAATCGCCCTGAGTCGCCCTGAAGCTGCCAGTTGGCCCAGGAGGAAGCCCGGAGGAGAGAGGAGAGGAGAGGAGGGGAGATGCTTGGCTTGCGGTCTCTGAACAAGGGCACCTCCATCTCCTCACTTTCGAAAATGGTTTCCCAGCAGCGTGGCACGGCGATTGAGTGCGGGGACCCTAAGCTCTCGGAAGGGCCTGCTCTCTTACCCTCAGGAAAAGAGGCTCCAGAAACTAGCTGGCAGCAGCCATTCGCCCGGTGCAGCAACCGGGGCCGGCCTGGCTGGCTGGACCCTTTACGGGCGGCAGGCCAAGCAGCCTCAAGGTGGCCACACTCCTATTTTAGGGTCAGCCCCGCACGGGGCCTGGCTGGAGCAACGTGCTCTGTTGGGCTTCCAGCCTCACAAGGAGCTCTCTGCAGTGCTGATCTCTTCCCATCTCGCTTCCTGACCAAGATCCGATGCACGAAAGAGCAGACGGGATACTAGAACTCACAGAAATGTCTCTTTCCTTTTCCTATTCTCGCTGCCTGGCTGTACGGCAAGCCTGGGCTGGGCCTCCACTGCGTAGACGGGAGCTCCAGAAAACTGGGGGAGGGCTTGGCAGGACAGAGGGGCTTGAAGGAAGCGGGCGCAGGGGCGTCAAAATCTTCACCTGTCGAAAGGGAGAAACAGAGAGGAGTTGAAATGTGTTGCACGGCTAGGATTTTTAGAGTGCTTCAGCATTCATGGCTGAAGAAATCCGTGTCAATTAATTGTATAAGGTGGGTTGGTGAGTTAACTGAGGAGTTCATTATTTAAATTTGCATGGATAAAGGCAATGAGAAGAGCAATTTATTTGCAGCAGAGGCATCTTTTTGGAAAAAGTGTTCTCTGAGGAAGGCCTCACAAGATGACACTTGACATTTTCAGTTGGTTTTTCTGTGAATATTTTCATGAACTACAACAAGAAAATACCTAAATCTTAATTAATTTAAAATACCATTTTAATAGGGTAAAATGCTGTTTAAACCCACTAACTTCAACCAATAAGTTAATTGAAAGTCACAGACCTATAATTTATCCTACTTTCAGAGGCTAAAAACAGTCTCATTTCAGCAGTTTTATAAACTGAATACACCCCCTCCCTCGGCTCACACTTGGGTTTAACCCATGGTTTATTTAATCTATGGCTCATGTAAGCATGAGTTGACTTACCCATGGTTTGTCTGACAGATGACTGAACAAACCATGATTTCCCTTTTCAGTCTTTTCCTTTGCTTGCTTCCTCCTTCTATCCCAAAGGAGCAATAGAATTAGCATTTATTAGAATGGTTGGGATGTTGACTGGTTTTCCCCCACTCCCTTGTGGGGAGCCTGCTGAAAAAAATCCATGGTTCTGGGTTCACATGTAGTAACAGCCCAGATTTAAAAGCCCAGAGTTTACAATCCAGTAATAAGTCCCAGATTCTCTTTCTGGGCTATTCATCGTTAACAAGCCATGGTTTGTTGGCATATCTATACTTATGTGTCACAACAACCCAGAACTCAACAAGTAATGGCTGAAATAAACCAGAGTCACTCCTGCTAAGGACAGGTATTTCTCTATTCTTACTCATGGGCTAAACCAGTGAATATGAGAAGAGATATTGGCTGGGTTTCGACAAATGATACAGGCAGTTGGTTGTGGATTCACAGAATCATAGTATAGTAGAATTAGAAGGGACCAAGAAGGCCATGGGTTCAACCCTCTGCTCAGTGCAGACTGTAATTGATGGTTGTTGAAAAATGGGTTGTTGTCAGAACCCAACTATACTAACAAGCCATGGTTTGTTCATAGAAACAACCCATAAAGAGAATGCAGCGTTTGCTGCTGGATTGCAGACTGTGGGTTCCTCACGACGGATGCAACTTAGCATGGTCACCCATGGTTCAACAATGGCCATTCCATACTCAACCGCTGCGTGTGAATTGTGAATCCCAAGTGAGTGTGTGAATTACTGTAATCATTAGGTTAACAAGGTAAATGCCGCTGAAGGGCATCCCACGCCCGACGAGCTGATGCTTGATGTCGCATCTTGCATTTTCCTGCCCCTTCCACATGATGGATTGCACCTGGCCAGGGTGTGAGAAGAAAGGTGGTGATGTCAGCGTGCAGGAAAGCACAACGAAGACGATGCAGGCCAGAGCACGGGCAAAATGCTGCCGCACCCATGCCTGTGGGGATTGCATGAGCAGAGCCGGCTGGAGCCGGGGGTCAGGCTAGATGGCCCAGGAGGCCGCTTCGGACTTACACTGTTTCTGTGTTTGGTGGCTAGTGTGCATTTTTGGGATGTTTACATTGGCCCCGACCTCTCAGATATGATCAATACCAGCTTTCATCTTGCAGGAAAGAATGAATTTCACAAGACGCTCACTAGGAAAATTTCAACCAGTCCCACAGGATTCTCCAGCTAGAATTCACCCCCTGCCTGGAACCCCGAAGCTCTTTGTCTCTTGGTTCCGTGGCAGCAGCATGGGCCCCAGGGAGTGGCAGGGCTGCCCACAGATCAGAAGTAAACCTGCTTGTTTTGCGCTGGTCATTTCACTGCAGCCTCGTGTGCCCAGCGCAGATGTCCCTGCGGCAACTGGCTGAAAAATTGGGGCACTTGATGAAAACAGTCAAGCGCTCCCGTTTGGTCATTCCTTGGCCCAAAGACCGCTAAGGTGTCAAGGAGAAAAGCACCTACGTGTAACTTGCGAAGGTCTCCGTGATGTACCTGAAAAAGATAAGGTGACAGTTATTTGAATGTGAGCCGTCCCGAGATGCCTTGCATGGGGGATGGCATACAAAAGTTTTAAATAAAATAAAATAAAATAAAAATATTAGGGGCTGTTACTGGATTTTTGAGCTGGCAAGTTTGAACAATACTGATTTTATATTTTTTAGGAATTTTAATAAAGGTTTAATTGCTACTGTACCTGAGCAATTTTAAGTCTATGATCTATGTAGTTGTAATTGTATCATTATATGTATTTTACTTGATTGTTCCAACCACGTTTTTGTTTTACATTTCACAAGTGCCACAAGGGTTACAAATACAATTAAATAAGTCAGGAAAGAGAGAGAGAGAGAGAGAGAGAGAGAGAGATTGATTATGCATTGGAACTCTGTGTCTGTGTTAAGTAACTGATGGGATCGTCCTATGCGAGTTTAGATGGAGAAATGTGCTGCAGCTCCCAGCATGCCCCAGCATGCCCCAGCATCCTTTGCATCCCCTCACCCTTCAACATCATCCGGAGAAGGGGGCCCAGGAAAATCTGAGCCTCAGAGACAGACTGGGGGTCTGGGTGCAGGCCCGCAAGCAACGGATCCACAGGGCTGCGCCCGCAGGTTGCGATGCCAGGCCCCTTTCCCGAATCAAGGAGACGTGCATAGCGTTGCCCTGTGAAGACACACACAAATCTCAGGATGTGATCAAACCATATTGCACTGAATTGGTCCAGGCACCCGCCCTGTTTTTTCTCTTCTTGGAACTATTTGCATTTTGCCTTGATATTTTGGTTTACAAGTACTTTTTATGTGTGTTGCCTTGAAGTGGACACATAAATCCTTAAAACAAACAAAAGCACAAAAAGCCCTTTTAAGCCCATTGGGTTTCTCTTGATCCCAGGGGGCTACTGATTCTGGCTTGGCTCTTCTGATTAAGTTGCCTGGGGATTCCGCCTTGCTGATGGCCCGCAGGCTAGCTGGCCTGGCACTTCCCACGGGGGAACCATCCTGCGGGGCAGCCCATTTAATTGCAGAAGGTTCTGTGGTTAAACGGACTTCCTGAGCAGCCGGGCCGTGCTGGGAGTTGCAGCCCGCCTTATCAGGGAAACACCGAGTTGAGGAAGACCTGGCTTGGAGTGGTAGCTGGCAAGAAAGAGGCCAGACGGGGCCCAGACCTACTTTTCCGGTGCTGCTTCTCATCCTGGGGGCTTATATCTGGATCTATCCGAACTGGACTGGAACCCGTGCCTGGAAAAGGATGCGAGGAAAGGAGAGTTGTTAATCGTTTCTCGAGCGGGAAGTTCCAGGAGCATCTGCTTGGGGATTTAGAGAAAATAAAGCAACTCCCCTTTGAAACGGACTGGAGGGAGAGGTTTGTTTTTCTTAGTTAAGTTCAGGAAAGTCTTCCGGGGTCTTTCTGGCTTCATGCTGCTGCGGTTGGAGATAAACGAAAGATTAGTGCATGCTGAACAGTGCTCTGGGCTTCTGGAGCTGGCCTGGCTCCGGGGTTTTCGGGCTCCACAAGCTCCCCACGAGCTGTAGCGTGTTCCATTTTTCATGTGTGCACTGGGTCAGCAAAATGTGGTTTTGTTTTTTAAGATAGCTTTGTTCAACCACATCAATTAACAAACATAGATGTTCAAGCAAATACAAGAATACATATGTTATACTTTATAGATTTAGTTAAATAAAACAATATTTTATATTGCTATTATATAATAAATTGCTATTATTAAGGTAATGATTATTTTTCTCTTTCCAATAAAGTACAGCAGAAAAGTTATCCAAATATGAATTAACCTATTAAACTGGAGGTTGTTCACCTCACAATAATTTTATAATGGTCTATGATATATTTCTAATTGTATAACCAAATCTGTAACTTTTTTGATATAACTAAAACTAACCTGAAAAAATTGTTATTCTAAAAAAATGAAACCTTCATCTGGTTGTAAATATTAAGATGATGCCAGCAACAACGAGTCTTTATGTGGAAAACCATGATTTAAATCTAGTCTTATGGACCAATGATTTAAATCATGGTTTCGATCGATCTGATTTAAGTCAAATCTAGGACCCCAGGCTCCGGGACCCCAGGCAGCTGCCTTCACAGCCCTTCTCGGAGGCCTGTAAATGAAGCTTGTGCTACTGCCCTTCTTAGCAACAGTTTGAATGCGCAAACATCGGCACCAAGGCGTCGTGCAAAGCAGCCCCTTCCATTCAGTTGTGGTGGCAGCTGGGGGTTTTGAACAGTTCAGAACTATGCTTCTCTAGCATATCACAAAGAAGAAGGTTTAGTCATATCCATCCAGCACAAACTCAGTTGCCTGGGCTTTGAATGCTGAAAGAAACATACCTTTGCAATCTTGTTTTCAATAAAAGCAAGTTTCTAGGCCTTAAGACTTGCATAGCTCAATTAAGCTATGAGCTATGCCGTGCAGGGCCACCCAAGAGGGACAGGTCATAGCAGAGAGCTCTGACAAAACCTGATCCACTGGAGAAGGAAATGGTAACCCACTCCAGTACCCTTGCCATGAAAACCCCATGGACAGTACCAAAAGGCAAAAAGATATGACACCAGAAGATGAGCCCCTCAGGCTGGAAGGTGCCCAATATGCTATTGGGGAAGAGCAGAGGGCTAGTACTAGTAGCGCCAGAAAGAATGAAGCGACTGGGACAAAGCCGAAAGGACACTCAGTTGCAGATGTATCTGGTGGTGAAAGGAGAGTCCAATGCTGCAAAGATCTATATAGGAATCTGGAATGTAAGATCCATGAATCAAGGCAAGCTGGACGTGGTCAAACAAGAGATGACAAGATTGAACATCAACTTCTTAGGAATCAGTGAACTAAAATGGACAGGAATGGGTGAATTTAATTCAGATGACCATCAGGTATGCTACTGTGGGCAAGAATTCCTCAGAAGAAATGGAGTAGCCTTCATAGTCAATAAATGAGTAGGAAAAGCAGTACTGGGATACAACCTCCAAAATGACAGAGTGATCTCAGTTCGAATCCAAGAAAAACCATTCAACATCACAGGAGTCCAAGTCTCTGCCCCAGCTACTGGTGCTGAAGAGGCTGAAGTTGTGACAATAATGTGGGTTTTAGAATTTTTCTTATTTGATTTACATCCTGCCTTTTTTCTTTCTTTTTTCTTTCAAAAAACTCAAAGCAACTTAAATAATTCGCCTCCTCCTTTTAATCTTCTCCTGGTATTTTATTGTTGTACCATTGTGAAGTCTCCCAGGGAGCCTTTGGCTAAGGGGTGCTGGCATATAAGTGGAATACATAAATAAATAAATTTTATATATGCACAACACATATATCAATAGTAGTATATATGTGCATTTGTACGTGCATGTACGTAAAACATTAGCAATGGTTCAGGAGTGGCTGTAATGGGACCCACAGTTCATATCTATCTTGACGAAGACAGACCGGACAGGGGGACTTCAACTCCCGTCATGCCTCACGGCGGCGAGGAGCTGCTCAACTGGGAGTGACTCAGGCCATGACAGAAACTCCAACTCCCGTGATGCTCCCCCGACGGGAGCCCAAGAAGACTACAAATCCCGTTATGCCACACTAAGGCCTGCGAGGCTCCTTTGAGTGGGTACCCCCACATACACACACTCGCCTCTGGCGTGGAGCTGGTCAGGCTCGGAGCGCGGCAAGTGCTGTAGCGACCGCCGCTGTGAAGGGTCCATCCCTCCAACCGATGATGAGACTCTGTGCGCATGCGCCTCTCATTCCCCTTCCAGCCCTATTTTCCTGCGCAGGCGCATTCGGTTTCGCCGCGCCCGCTCGTTTCCACTGCGCGCATGCGCACGGCTTCCCTCCCCGCCGTCCGGAGACCCGCGCCGCACGCGGGCTGGAGAAAGCGTAGCCCGTTGTCGTGTCAATCTATCTTGCTGGCGAGGGAGTGGGCGGGCTCACCCTGGCAGGGCGCGCCTTCCCATTGGCGAGGCCCCCGGAGTGCCGGCGCCGATTGGCGAAGCCGCTGCAGCGAGGCGGGTAGGGTGTGCAAGCGCGGTGAAACGGCATTCTCCTTCCGCCCCTCCGCGCTGCTCCTCCTCCTCTTCCTCCAGAAGGTTCCGCGCCGGCTTCGCCTCGCCTCGCCTCGCCGCGAAGATGATGGGCCAGCGCCCCGTCCTCGTGCTCAGTGAGTCTGAGGGGCGTGGGTGGGGGGAGCCCCCTCCGTAGACCCCCCGCAAGGACCCGCTCTGAGGGGACCCGTCCTTCCTCCAAAATGGGGCGCCCTGCGAGGGCTCCCGCCGCGCTCGCCCTCCTAACTCGCCGACTGCCATACATACGGAATGAAGCCTCAGGGTCTTCCTTCGCCTCTCTCGGGGGGACCCGCATGGTTCTCCGGAGTTCCTCGCTCAAGATCCCCGCCTGCATTGATCCCCGCCCCGCAAGCGGGCTCAGGAAATAGCCCTTGGATCGGGTCTCCCCTACCCGAGCGCCCCCGGAACTGCTCAGCTCCTATAATACCTGCCGCTGCTTCGCTCACTTGCAGGATCTGTGAGGGGTTGTCTTGGCTGACCGCCCCCCATAAGTTTCTCCTTTCCTCTCATCAAACAGTCCCACAGATTCCTGTTCCTCACTCAAAATGCCCCACAATTATCCGGTTCCTGCCTCTCTCAACTCCCGCCTCCCATATATATTAGGCAGTTCTCCTGACCCTATTATTATTATTATTATTATTATTATTATTATTATTATTATTATTATAACATTTCTATGCCGCCCCTTGCCGAAACCTCGGGGCGGCTTACAACATGATAAAATACATTGAAATACAATAGTACATAATAAATTACCATTATGAAACTGTCAGCATTCCTTCAGTAACCCCCCTACACGCTTCATTACACGCTTTGACATCCCTGCCCCCCATACGCATTGGAGCCCCTTCTGCTATGTATCTGCCATATTCCTCTGCCTCAGCCCCCTCCCCATGTGCCTCACCATGGCAGATGTGCCTATATGGCTGAACAGCTTTGTGCCCCCAGAGCACTGGGGTCCTGATCTTGGTTGGATTTAGGCGGGGGGGGCACTATTGCCCCTTCTCCCCAGTATTGACTGTCTTCCACAATTGCGTATTTAGGCCTGCTTCCCGCACATCATCAAGAGATCCACTCCAGCAGGCCACCAGCTTTATGTGGTCTGATCCTGTGGCCCCTTCTGCCACCCCCTGAGTGCTTTCTCTGTTAGCAAACTTTTTCCTCCCCATCAGCTTGCTTCCTCCCAGCCTGCTTTGAAATCTCTCTCCCAATACTTCCCTGCAGCATCTGTTCCCTTACTCCTCCCCACCTATATCTTTATGATTTGAGTTCCAATTTTCCTACATGTGTTTTCCCATGCTCCATTTTTATTAGCTTATTTTTTTAAAGTCCAGAGTATCATACAGAACTTGGAAGGGCTCCTCTTTGAGTCTTGCTTCTGAAGTATAATCCATTGCTCTGCCTCCCACTGCTAAATTGAGATTCCATTCTGTCTTGGTTACTGTTCTCAGTAGGTGGGTTTTGCTGTCTATTCTGATTGCCAGGATCTGCCTTTCCTGTTTTCCTCCATGGTTAATCTCCTCTTGGGTTTTCCTTTTCTCCCATTCATAGAAGGAGACACTGAGATTTGGTGGGTGTGGGTGTGTACTATAGAACACACTGCATGCATGCAGCAGGTTCTGGGCTGTGGAGATGTTTGTAGGGAAGATCTGAAACAGCGCGGCATTTGTTAAAGTGTATTTAAGTGGAAGGATGGATTCCCCAAATACACCTGTTGTAGCATAGATAACCTTCCAGACCACTGGCAGTGAGTGGGAGTTGAGTTTCCCGGGTATCTGCTAGGACCCAAATGAAGCTCATTTGAGGATGAGCCAGCCAGCAGCGTCCCTTTCTTTTCTTGGCCAGTGTAATAGGTGGAATGACTCTCAATTCTTTCTTGTATTTAGGGATGAGATGGGAATGGAGGTTCTGGCTGCTGGATCTGTAGCCTGAAGGGCTCCCTTTGCAATAACTTTATCTGTACGAAGATGAATACTTGTTTTGAGGAAGCATTTTACAGTTAGTGGGGATGGGTTGGGAAGGTGCTGCATGTACTGTGGCTTTGCTGCAAGGAAGATAATTTCTTGGTATTTGAAGATTATCAAGATGATGATTTCTCAGCTCTATAATATTTACTGGAAAAGTAATTGCTTAGGTTAACTGTAATTAATTTGTACAATATCGCATCTCTTTTCCTAAAGGGCACTATCTTACGGTGCAATCATGCACTCTGCACTGAGCAAGGTGTAATAGCCCTGCTATTTAGATTTGGCACCAGGGAGGAATGGTAGCCGGGGGGGGGGGCAGGGGTGTAAGCCATCAGCCCAGCATCCTCCCCTTCCACAGCACACCACTTTTCATTTCCTCTGAGGCCCAGTTGTAACTTTGTGGGAGGCAGGCGGTACAGTTCTTTCTGTGTTGGCTCAAGCAGGGAGGAACTTGCCCTGCAGAGACCCAGCCCTGAGTTCACAAGGCCTCAGAGTTGCATCTGGGGGCCACAGGATTATTCACAAACCATGATGGGAGGCCATAAAACTGCACCCTCAATCTTTTATGTTGCTAAACTTAGATGCATTTCTCTTGGAATAAACCCCATCAAACCTAATGTGACTAATGTCTGATTGAACCCTCAGAAACAGATCCCTGCCCCAACCCAGGTAGAACCAAATGCTTGGCTGTGGAGGGTATAGAAAGTAAGAGGAATGGGGGAGTAAGTACATTTGGCAGGACTGGGGTAGGTAAGAGCTCTAATCATACTTTTTCTGTTTGTCTCAGGTCAGAACACAAAGCGTGAGTCTGGAAGGAAAGTCCAGGCTGGGAACATTAATGCTGCGAAGGTATGCTTGACTGGAAATGCACCGGAAGAAAGGGAGATGAGGGTATACTTGATCTTGGCTTGCCACACTTCTCAGAATAGGTGAAATGAATAGAGAGGGGTGCTTGTAAATGAAATGCATGTTGGTTGAGAGAACTCAGGTTTTAATCTCTGCTGAAGTCATTGTAGTATAGTGCAGGGGGAGAGCAGATTTTAGGCTTGTTGTAACCAACCAGAGCCAAGTGCAAAAGATACAGCCTGAATTAAAGAACAGGGACATTTCTGACTCCACAGATGTTTCTTTTCACTGGGTTTAGAAGTGAGTCAAGTTCATAATCCTTTCACACAAGTATCTATTCCTCATTACCCCAAGCTTTCTTCATTTCTGCCGCCTAATTTAGGTGGTTGAAAAGTTATGCATTGTTACAGTTTTTAAACATTTGTGAGCTGGAAACTTGCTAACCCATTCACAGAGATACTGCTTTGATATCGGAGCAGGGAATCGGAGTTCTCCCCTCTCCCTCACAGCCTGCATGGAAGAAACAGCTTCGGCTGTCTCTCCAAGGTCAGAAATGCATCCTCAGAGAGGTAAAAGTGAGAGGGGGAAGAGACTAGAGGAACCAGGATCTGAGCTGTCCTGAAACCTGGGTTCATAGAACCTCAGCTAGAGCTCTGAATAATCCTGTGCCCCCACCCGCACCCCAGCCAGCAATGAAACACCATAAGATTGCAACCTTAATTTTTAAGCTGCTAAATGTGTATGCATTTACCATGGAGTAAATGCCTTGGGGTTCTTGCAATAAAGCTATGCCTTACTTAGTTACAGCCTCCGATCCGATAGAGAACTGTGTTAGATCCCTGGGTTACTTGGATTAATTTTTGAACATACATCACAGGGCTGTTTCACTGAGAAATTCAGAGCACAAATACCTTATTCATGAAATCTGAGGGTTGCAACCCAGGGTTCGGCTGGATGCTACTATCTCTGGAAGCATAGATCCAGAACCATGACCTCCCACTCTGCCTTCCATGCTTGTGAAAGCCAGGCAGAGGGCTAGTAAATGCATGAGGGGATGGAGTGGTTCGGAAAACCGCAGGCACTTCGCCAGCATGCATTGCTGCTGTTATTATAAATGCACGTTTATAAAGTACCTGGAATTTCTAAGGACTGTACAGGTATTGGGGACAAGGCAGTCCCTGCTTGCAGGCACAAACTTTAATATAAATGATGCAAAAGGGGAAAGAGAATGGTGAGGGAGGAGAAGCTGCCCCTTGACAGGCTGAAGGTTGGTGCCTGCTTAGATTTTCTTTGCCAAGGTATTTTTCATGAAAGAAAGTGGGTGCAACTCCCTGCTGCCCAGTTTGGGGGAAAGTCCAGAGAATGCCCCTCTTCACTTGGTTAGACTCAGGGCATGCTGGCAGAACGTGGCACTGCTTTTATGTGGACAGCTTTCCTGGGAAAATACTCTCGACATCATGGTCTGTATGCCCTCCATTTTTGCTCAGGTACTGTTCTGCAAACTGAGTAAGTTACTGCTTCTGAGTTAAAGGAAAGGATTTGGTTCTCTTTGAAGAAGAGCATCATTAGGGCTGCATGAAAATCTGCCTGGTTTGTTCCCTTCCTGCCAGTGGCAAACAATTTCTCTGCCCTTAGGCCTTAATATACCTTCTTTTCTAGCCAAATTTACCTTTTCTGTCCCTTCACAGGATGTGTTTGTTAGTGCACTTGGTGACAGCTTCCTGCTGAGCTGCTGAAACGTTCATGAATATTCTGTGACGTTCACTGGGGAGGCTCACCATTGCCTGGCCGTGACCTTTTTTCTTGCTTCATAATGTCTCTGGAACTCGGTGCATAATCATCCTGGAGGTTTGTTATATCCTCCTTTGCTCTGCAAATCAAGTTGTCTTTATAATTCTGTTCTTTCTATTTCAGACCATTGCTGATATTATTAGAACATGTTTAGGACCAAGAGCCATGATGAAGGTGAGAGAACTATTTTCCTTCATTGCTTCATTACTCAGAGTAAACTGATAATGCAAATCTGCTTGTACCGGTGTTGCATTTTCCGGAACCTAACAGAAATGCCCTGAATGCCCCACTGCAGATGCTGTTGGACCCAATGGGGGGAATCGTCATGACCAACGACGGCAACGCTATTCTTAGAGAAGTAAGTCTTTGTGATGCCGACACCAGGCCCTTCGCTCAAAGCTGAGCGTGATGGAAGCAACCCCTCCGCAGTGGCCCTTGCCACATAATCCTTGGAGAGCCTGCACAGCTGTGAGACTGGAGGGTGGGAAGTAAACTTTCCCTTAATGGCCAAGGTGAAGATGCGGTCGTTCACATGATCTGAAGCCCCTCTTACTGCTGCTCCTTCTGGCAGGGCCCCACTCCACGCTGCATCTGCTCCCACTCGGGTCCGTGCTGCCTTCAAGCCATGCCGCTGCTTCCTCCCTTGCTCAGGGCGGAGGGTCCCTCGGCCCTGGGGCTTGCTGCGTCCTCTCCCTCCACCCCACAGGTTCATCCTCTTCCCTTTAAGGCAGTTTCCCTGTTGGCCGTCTGGAAATTAGTACTGGACTTTACTTGTCTTTGCTGCATTGTGGAAGAGCAGGATGCAGCTGGGCGGCATTTGTTGTAACTGCTCCCATGATTATTGCTAGTAACACAAACCTTTAGAGTTAGGCTTTCTTGCCAGGACTGGGCACATGTTAGTTTCTGTGTCAAGCGGTGCCCTTTTTGGAGTTGGCAGTGGGAATTCTTTGTAAAGGCATGGCAAATGTTGATTGCCCAACTAGAACAGGTTGTCTTTACACATTTTTTCCAAGGAGCAGGGGCCAGTTTCCACATGGCCTCCCATCATCCAAGTCAGAGGTGGATGTTCCTTATCGTGGCCTTAATTCACTTTCACCACGATGGAGACTCAGTTCAAGGTCTCCCTGAGTTTGGGGGAGTTTCCATCATGTCCCCCAGGGTCACCAGGTGTCTGCATCTTTCCTTCTGTACAGATTCAAGTCCAGCATCCAGCTGCTAAGTCCATGATTGAAATCAGCCGCACGCAGGACGAAGAGGTGGGCGATGGGACCACCTCTGTGATTATTCTTGGTAAGAGCTGTGTGCAGGTGCCCGCAAGACCGTAAGTCTTCTATAGCACGCTCTACGTGGGGCTGCCCCTGAAGATGGTCCAGATACTTCAGATGGTGCAAAATAGAGCTGCCAGGTTGCTGACGGGGACTGGGCATTATGTTCACATGACTCCAGTTCTCCGTCAGCTTCACTGGCTCCCCATTGAAGTCCGAGCCCAATTCAAGGTGCTGGTGATTACTTATAAAGCCCTAAACAGCTTGGGACCTGGGTATCTGAAGGAGCACCTGCATCCATATATGCCCTCCTGCCCCTTGAGATCAGCAGCAGAGGCCCTTCTCCGGGAGCCTTCCGTGAAGGACATTGGGAGGGTGAGCACCAGGAGGAGGGCCTTCTCTGTGGTGGCGCCCCACTTACGGAATGCGCTCCCCAGAGAGGTCCGCCTGGCACCGTCAGTATTTGCTTTTCGGTGCCAGGCCAATACCTTTTTATTTAAACGTTATTTTAATTAATTGTTAAATTATTTATTGGTTTTATTTATTGCCTGGATGTGTCCAATTTTTATATTTTTGTATTGTTATTTCTTTGCTGGAAGCCGCCCCGAGGCTTAAGCAAATGGGGCAGAATACAAGTATCCCAGATAAATAAATAAATAAGTCACAAAATACGTCCTCTGGTAGATTCCTGCGGGGAAAAGAGGCAGAAGGAGGCGGTCCACTTGAGGCATTTTGATGGCCACTGCAGGCCTGGCAGTCTCCCGAAATCCCTGTGGCCTGAGGGCCGGTGGCCGGGTCAAGGGAGCTTGTCGCTTCAGGAAAGGAGGCGCTGCAGAGCAGCTGTGCATCGCGCTGTTGATTCCCGTGTGAGCAGCGCAGAGCAGAGCAGAGCGGGGCAGCCTGCAGTGCTGGGCCTGCCGTAGTGCAAATGTGTTGCGGGGAAGCATTTGGATATCCCACCCCAGAGCTCCCAGTGCCTGGGCCCAGCAGTGCCTGCAAGTCATTAGTAGCCACTTGCCATTAGAAGCGGTCCAGCTAAAAGAGGCGCTGGTTGTTCCCCATATGCTCCCCTTGGAGAGGGCCGGGCTCAACGCCCTTTCCATAACTGGGTTTAACCGTAAGGCACGCCAGCCTGGTGCTGCGTAATTCAGAAGTCATGAGACCGGTGGGTGCTGCCCCTTCCTTGGGCCAGAGGGGTTTTGGTGCCAAGATGCCTTTAATGCTTTAGCACAGTGGTAATGCCCAGCAACGGCTCTCTGCTTACCCTTCAGCCGGAGAGATGTTGTCAGTTGCCGAACATTTCCTCGAGCAGCAGATGCACCCAACAGTGATTATTAGTGCGTACAGGAAAGCTCTGGATGACATGATCAGCGCTCTGAAAAAGATCAGGTGAGCAGGAAGCCCGGCAGCCGCAAGGGAACGTGGAGCCCAGCAAAGGGGTGATGGCGCTCTCTGGGCAACCGAGAGGAGTGGCAGTCAGGGCATTGAGTCCCTTGTTGAGCCGGCCCTAGCAGTGCCTGGCGCCCGATCAGGGTCCTGGCATCAAGACCACGGGTGGAGAATCTCGGGCCAAGGCTGCTCCTCTTGGGACCCCAGTGAGGCGCACTGGGGTCCCCCGGGGACCACGCACCTTTCTCCAGCCAGCTCCCTGTGGAGGTGCCCTGGCTTTTGAGCAGATCTTTACCACTTCTCCCCCCCTCCCCACATTCTAAAATGCTGAAATGCCTCTCTGGGATTTTTTGGGGGGTACTTTGGGTGTTGTTTGTCCCACCCACCACTGGGATGTGGCCTCCACAAGAGCCCCTCCGAAATAAAAATTTGACCTTCAGGCCAAAAGACAACATTTCCCAGTTCTAGATGCAAATTCCCATTGAATCCCAATCGCCCCCCCCCCCCCGTGGCAGTTGACACATTTGCTTGTGGAAGAATCCTTTTGATAACGTGCCACAAATCAAAATCATTTTGCAGCTTGAAGCTGCAACAGTTGCAGTCCTCTGAGAGGGTTGCCTTCTAGCAACGGCCACTCAGTGTGGACACACAGTGGCAGCGGCCAGAGCCGCCTGGCAAGGGTGTCGTGGCGGCTGCGTCAGATACGAACACCGCCTTCTGCTTCACCATGAGGGCGGGGCATTAGGCTCTGCTATAGATTCATATCAGTTACACACGTTTTGCTTGGTTTCCACAGTGCTCCTGTCGATGTGAACAACCGTGAAGCCATGCTTAAAATAATCAACAGTGCCATTGGCACCAAAGCTATCAATCGCTGGTCAGATCTGGCCTGCAGCATTGCCCTCGATGCAGTCAGGACTGTGGAGTTTGAGGAAAACGGCAGGAAGGAAATCGACATCAAGAAATATGCCAAAGTAGAAAAGGTATGAGGAAAAATGTGTTTCTGGACCAGGGCTGGATTTTGAGGGCCTGGAAGAAGTCCTTTCGAAAGGGCTGGCATTAACTTACACTGGTGAAACAAATACAGAGAAGGAATATAGATAGATCTTACTGAGCCTCTGATTGCTTTCTGGTACAGAAGAAAGTTGCTTTCAGGACCAGAAGGTGTTTTTTTCAACTGTAGGATATAACCAGAACAAAACATGTTTACAACGAAGAACCAACAGTCAGCACAATCCATAATGGGCAGTACCAACAGTAACACTTTTCCAGCTGCAAACGCGAAAGGTTGATTTGTATGTTCAATAGCAACAGCAGTGCTTAAAACAAACCTGAGACGTCAGCTTCATGTAGTCTTACCTGTAGGAACAGAACTTGAAGGTGAATTGTCCCACCACCCTGGCCTTACCTGCTGACGAGCACTGCAGGTGCCCCACGTCAGTCATTCTACTTCGGCACCTGACCCGTGGGGACAAAGAACTGTGGTTTCTCCTCCTCAGATTCCGTTTCCCCCTTGGGCCTGGCTCAGCCACTCCGCTGAAGTAATTGTCCTGGGCTGATGTCCATCGGTGTCCATATACACTGTGTGGGTTTAAATCCTTAATTTGGTTTACGGGTATGCATAAACGGGTCTTGTCAGTCTTGAAGTAAATTAGGTTTTCCCAGTTGTGTGGCTACAAAAACTGGATAGCTTCTGGCCTTTTTACTTCCCCCAGATTCCCGGTGGCTTTATTGAAGATTCCTGTGTCCTGCGTGGCGTCATGCTCAATAAAGATATTACTCACCCTCGGATGCGTCGCACCATCAAGAACCCCCGCATTGTCCTGCTGGACTGCTCCCTGGAGTACAAGAAAGGCGAGAGTCAGGTATGCTGGCTGGCACAGTTCCCCTGCTCTTCGGGTTGGGTTGAATTAAATCCAAGTGTTTTCCAGAGACTGGTGCAGGATTCCGGAGATGCCTGCATTGTCAAAGACTTGATTTGACTCACTGTGTCACTTTTGAGTCTCATACGGCCCTGGGATCGCTTATATTCAGCCCCCCCGTGGTTGAAACTTGCCTCCTTCAGCATAAGGATGGCCTCCTTCTCCATAAGCTTCATGGCTGCTTGGTTTGGTACAGCAAGTGTTCTGTGGTTTTGCAGCAAGGGTGGGCAACATGCGACCCCTGCAGCTTCCTGGCATTCAGAGGGGAGCCGGCAACAAACGTTAAAAGAGAACCCCACAAACAGAATGTTTTCTGTGGCTGCTCCAGACGCCAAAAGGGACAAAAATAGTTGGTCTGCAAGGTAGTATTGTTCCCTGGGACTGTGTAGCAGCTGCAGAGCACTATCTTATATTGATTTATATTCCTCCTCCCCATTTTTTAGGGTCACCAGAAGTCAGGCACCTTGAGAACACACTGCAGCTCACCCCGTTTTTGGCCCTGGGGTGGGAACTGTAATCCACAGTGGGGGTTCGAGGGGTCAGGAATGACCTCTGGACTTCCCAAAGGTACCCTCCCATGCCACAGAGACCTGAAAAGTTTTGCCTCTCTTGCACTATAGAGAATTAACTAAGGGGTGGTTAATTTTCGGTGACTTTCTGTAAATGAAGGGTTCTGTCTGGTATTAAGTCACTACGCTGTAAGCAGAGTAGTGTGCACACTGCGTCCAGGCATTCCAAAACAGGGCTAAGGAAAGCTCTGTTCTGCAGCGTTGTTTCCCATCGCATAGTTTCACAACTCTGCCACGTTTTCATCGAGGGGTCAGTGCGACTGGAGCCCTTGGATCAGTCGTAGGGCTTCTGAAATTCGAACAGACATTCCACTCCTCCCTCCCAAAGACGTGCTTTGTCTTGACAGCCACAAAGATTAGGAAGCTGTCTTTTAATCTGAACTTCTTGTCAAATTGAGCCCCGCAGCCACAGCTGTATCTTGCCATTTTTCTGCAGTTGGCAGGTTCAGAGGGCCTGTTGGCACTGCCTCCTGCGGGCAGGGAATCTCACCCCGCACCAAAGAGTGCTGTGGAGGAAATGGGTGGCAGGGCTTGTCTCTTGGGAAGCGGCAGGCGCAGCCCATTCTGCGCTGTAAGCAAGTGCGATGACCAGACTGTGACCTCACCTAAACGCATCTGCATCCCTTTGTGCAGACTGACATCGAAATCACTCGCGAGGAGGACTTTGCCCGCATCCTGCAGATGGAGGAGGAGTTCATCCAGCAGATGTGCGAGCACCTGCTCAGAGTCAAGCCGGATCTGGTCATCACCGAGAAGGGGATCTCAGGTGGGCAGCGCGTGCGGGGCCTCGCAGGCACTGTCTCTGTCCCGCTCTGTCTGTGCGGTACTGAAGAGACCCTTTCTGTCCGCAGACCTGGCCCAGCATTTCCTGATGAGGGCCAACGTCACCGCCATCCGCCGGGTGAGAAAAACTGACAACAACCGAATTGCAAGGTACGGGCACCTGACTTGGAAGCCTTTCGGCTGTGTTGGAGGAATGTGTTGATTTGGCATTCCTAAGCGTTTTTTCCCTGCCGTCCGTCATTTGCATTCTCTCTCTGGAGGACTCCAAGCAGAAACTGGGCAGGGATGCCTTAAGCTGGAGTCCTCCTCTGAGCAGGGCCTGAACTTGGGCAGAAATGGCTCCTTCCAGCTCTGTGTGTATTTGCTTTTTAGCGTAGTAGGCAGGGCAGACTAGCAGGGGACCAGAACGCCTCAACCTCCCGTCTGTTCTTCCTGGTGGAGGGTGATACTCCGTGTGCTATGGGAGGGGGGGGTATGTGGAGCTTAAAAACCCTGGGGAGCCCAGGTGTTCTCCACAAATTTCCCTTTGGCCCGTAAATAAGGTCCCCATGAGAAGAATGTGGCTTGCTAAAAAGCTCTTCAGACTTTTTAGAAGGAAATGCTGAAAACTTGTGGAAGAAACTTTCTCTTCTGGCCGCCTGCAAAACTCTCTAAAGCGAGACAGAATGGCTAGAGACTAATTCTAGCAAGGCCATGCAACAAGCTCTCGTTAGAAACTCTCGACTGAGGTCTATTGAGCAGGAAGGGGGGGTTTCCGTCCTTTGGGGAGCTGGTGGGACATGCGTTTGCCCCAGGTGTGAGCCCCAGACCCCCTCAGAACTAGCAGGAGAGCATCCTGTGGGGAAGGACTGCCCACCTACATGCAGGACATTGCAGTGTCCCCAAATTTGCATGCCAAGAAGGAGCCTGAGTGTTGGGGGGTATTTCTTGCTTTGTGTGGCAGGGCCTGCGGGGCACGTATTGTCAGCCGCACAGATGAGCTGCGTGAAGAGGATGTTGGGACTGGCGCAGGGCTTTTTGAGGTGAAGAAAATCGGGGATGAGTATTTCACCTTCATCACAGACTGTAAGGAGCCCAAGGCCTGCACCATCATGCTCCGGGGTGCCAGCAAAGAGATTCTAGCGGTAAGCGCCTCCCAGTCAGTGCTCCCAGCGGGGTCTCCAGGAGCAGCTGCAGGAGAGGCAGGCAAAGACTTCTGTCCATTTTTTCCTGAGGAAATGGGAGAAGTGTGGCTTGTTTAGATTCTGTGTTTAATCTCTTTTCCAAGTTTAAACGTATTCATTTAAAATACTTTAAGGTTATCATTCTGCCATTTAAGGTAAATGCCATTTAATGTGCCTTGCATGATGAAGTGGTGTACAGTAGAAACCACGCAATTATCAAGCAGCAAAGAATAATAAAATCAGCAAGCTAGCTGTTAAAACCACACCATCAATAAATATATACAGTGGTACCTTGGCTCACGAACTTAATCTGTTCCAGGACTCTGGTCGTGACCCAAATTGGTCATGAGCCAAGTCAAATTTCCCCATGAGGTTCAAGGTTAATCTGTTCTGCAACCATTTTTTAAATCAGAAAAATGTGAAGCAAAGTGACAACAACAAAGATTGCGGCCATCCCATCCTGCCCCCCCCCCCGGAGCACAAGCGGGGCCATCTCCCTGCCCCACAGCACGACCGAGATTGTGCCTGTCCTCCCTGCAGGCACCCGTCATCCCAGCGCGCTGGGGGGCGGGAGAGACGGGCGCAAACGGTGTCCTGGGGGTGGGGGGATGGCCGCGGTTGCAGTTCTGTTCGTGCAGGGAAGGGGTGCCTGGTCAGAGGTGGCTCCTGCAGGAAAGACAGGTGGGATCTCGGCCGTCTCCCCCGCAGCTCTGTGTTGCTGCTCCCGTCTTTCCTGCAGCCGCGCGCCTCTGATCACCATGCCTTCCCTGCAGGAAAGCAACTGGGATCGTAGCCATCTCCCCACTTGGGTGGGGGGGAGATGGTGGCGACCTTGGTTGCCACCCAAAGTGGTGTTCGCGACCCAAGTCAGAATTTTTCAGAAATTTTTGTTCATGACCCGATCTGTTCGTGAACCAAGGCGTTCATGAGCCGAGGTACCACTGTCTATCTCGGAGAGCCCTAAAAACTAAAATGCAGTTGCTGAAAAACCTGAGAATAGATACATAAAGCACATTGCAGGAAAGGCCAGAGAAAATGGGCAAGTCTTCAGGGGTTTCCTAAAGGCTTGCCGTGAGGGAGGCTGCTGAGCTCAGCCTTGTTGTTTTTGTAATACTTGGAAAGTGGAGTATTGTTTTGTGTTTGTTACTACTGTAAGAACAAGCTGCTTCCAGTCAAGCCTGCTTTTGGGTGTGCTTTGGCCATCGCTGGTGCATCATTATGTGTGTGTGGGGGGGTTCCGTTGTCCCCGACGCAGAGGTGCCCCCGCATTGGCTCCTCCCATGGACTTGGCTTGGAAGGCGGCCAGGCCACCTCCTTAGCAGGTGTGTGGCCCCGTGGCTGCTTCTCGGGAGCCTTCGTGGTCTCCTTATTCAGTTGCGCCCACAGCTGTCGGGCGCCTTCCTCTGAAGTGCTTGCCTTGATGTGTGGAACCTTTGCGCTCTCCCCGTCCGCAGGAGGTGGAGCGCAACCTCCAGGATGCCATGCAGGTCTGCCGCAACGTCCTGATTGACCCTCAGCTGGTGCCCGGAGGCGGCGCTTCTGAGATGGCCGTGGCACATGCTTTAACGGAAAGGTCAAAAGTCATGACTGGGGTGGAGCAGTGGCCCTACCGTGCCGTCGCCCAGGCTCTCGAAGTCATTCCCAGGACACTCATCCAGAACTGCGGTGCCAGCACCATCCGCGCACTCACTTCGCTGCGGGTAAGAGTAAGGGCCGCGGTGGCTGGGCCTGGCGCACACGCGTGCCGAGAAGGTGGCCTCCATGTTGAGCCTCGGGGGCCGTTTCTCTGCTCCTGCAGTTTGCAGATGGCCTCGCACAAGCGTTGTACAAGATCCTGTGCGTTAAGCGGCCCCTGCTTGGGCAGCGCAAGGGGGGGTGGCCAAGGGAGTGGGCCTGGTCCCCGGAAGTCCCGAGTCGCTTCTCCAGCCCTGCCAGGAAAACTCGGAGTGCCTTGAAGACAGGCGTGTGGGACCCTTCAGGAATAGCCTCTGGTATCGCCTGCTTGTCAGAGTGAGGAGGCAGCTGGATTTGTAGGGTTGGGCAGCAGCAGACTTTGTGATGTTGTGACGCTTTTTGCAATGGTTCCTTGCAGGCAAAACATACCCAGGAAGGCAGTCAGACCTGGGGAGTAAACGGGGAGACTGGTGCCTTGGCAGACATGAAGGAGCTGGGTATATGGGAGCCATTGTCTGTCAAGTTGCAGACCTACAAGACGGCTGTAGAGGTAAGGGAGAAACTGGAAGCCCACCTTGGGACCCAGTGCTGAAGGGCTTGTGAGCGGGAAGGGATGGGTAACTGCCCCTGGTCAATCAGAAGCAACATTTCCATTATTCGGAACATCTTTTCTGCCTTTGGGGAAGATGCTTCCTTCTCCCTGTGTTCAGCTACCATGAATCACATTCATGGAATGGTGCTGAAAAAACTCTTAGAGGCTGCTCCGCCGCTTCAGAGCTCCGTTTTCCAAGTCTGTGTGTGTTTGGAAGGCTGTATATATTTTGAGCTGAGTTTGATAGTGAGGCTGAAGAGGTGTGCTAGTTTGTGTCTTTCTTGGTTTCTATCTATCTATCTATCTATCTATCTATCTATCTATCTATCTATCTAGTAAGCTTCTATGCTGCCCCATTCGCCGAAGCCTCCCTTTCTCTTACTGATTTTGATTTGTACCTTGACTTTCTACCAAGAAAAGAAATGCAGAGCAACTTACAATCATTCATAAAACTTGCTTAAAACAATAGTAAATGCATTAATACAGATTTAAAAACACAACAAGGACACAATAAAATCAGCATCTGGCTGAACAGACCCATTTATACCCCCAAAGTCTGCCTTGTACTTCAGTTGTGTTCTTGCCACCTCTTTTCTGTCCACTGCAGTATAGGCCCTAAGTTGTAGTCACAGTTCTGGTGAAGTGGAACAATCCACCTACAGCAAAAATGCAAATATACACTAGTATCGGATGCATCAAAGAGGAAATCTAGGATCACACTGGATGGAACTAGCCAATCAGATAGAATGCTAATTTGGATGAGCTCTTTGATGCCAACACCATAACAGAGAATAGTTCTAGATCAAGAGCATGAAGGCGAGTTGGCAGCAGCTTGCAATGACTAGTAAATCAGGAGTATTGGATTGGGATTTGGCCTCTCCAACTTTAATCATCCGTTGCTAACCAAAACCCTTTTCTCCACTCCAGACCGCCATCCTCCTCCTGCGTATTGACGACATTGTTTCAGGTCATAAGAAGAAAGGCGATGAGCAGAGCAAGCAGGGTGGAGCCCTGGAGGCAGCCCAGGATTAACTCTGTACGGCTGGGGAAATGGTGCGCCTTGGAGATGGAAACGACCGGAATGAAATGTTGATTGCTGCTTTTCCTCACCCTGGGTTCAGGTGTGGTCAGAGTCCAAATACTGATTCTTTCAAAGTCAGCAAAGAAGGGCCGATAATGCGTTAGCTCCCCGTTCTGTTTAGGAGACACTGACGCTTTATTTAAGTGTATACTGTAGCTTCTTTGTGGCTTTGTTAATAAAAACATCACTTCACATCCAGTTCTTTGCAGGTGACTTTCCCCTCCCCCAGTTCCCTGGTGTTGCCTCAGATCCGACTCCTGAGGTGGTTTCAGCAGCCCCCTCCTTGCTGCAGAGTGCGCTTTTGGCCTGTTCATGCCATATTTTTATTTACATTTTTTCCTGCTTTTCTTTCACCAATGGAACCCGAAAGTAAAAACACGGCAATACAAAGGCAACAAATACTGGTGCATCCAGCCATCATTAAGCCTTCTCCAAAAATGCACGATCAAATGCAGTAACAAAAGCCCTGACGCGACACGGCGGCTGTACAGGCATCTATGAATTTACGGCCGCTGGCAGTGCGCAGCTTTCCATCTGGCATGGACCACACAGGGAGCTACAGGTGCCGTTTCCTGCACAGACGCAGCACACCTCACAAGCTCGGGCTTGTGGCCCGACCACAAAAGGAAGTGTCCGCAGCATACCAGAGGATGGGTGGTGGGAAGCCCTGTGGCGCCTCCTCTGGGAAACGGTCACTTCTGACGTTGGCAAAGCACCTTTTGCAGGAACTGTACTTTAGATCCTAAAGTGTCGTTTTAACGTGGTTCTGGATTGTGTGTGTGTTTCAAAAAGCCATTAAAACTGAGAATACCCCGCACCCCCCGCGAGGAGCAAATAAGGCTGGGCGGGAAGCAGGCTCCGCCGTCCGCCTGCAGCCACGAGGCAGCCCGGACGGGTTGAGGCAGCGGAGCCGCTCGGGGCTGGGGCTGGTTCTGCAGCCGCTGCTCCCGCGCCAGGCGGCCGGAGCAGGCGGCGGCAGCGGCGCCGTGCGCGCGCGCGCGCACGCTCGCGGAGGCGGGGCTTGCCGGAGGGCCCGCCCCTTTAGGAGCCCGGCCCGGGCGGGGGCGGCCAGGCGCGCTCACGTGCCGAGGCGGGCGCGATGCAGGTTGCGGGGCGCGCGCTGCTCCCGGCGCTGCTCCCGGCGCTGCTCTGGCTGGCGGGCGGCGGCGGCGGCGCGGGGCGCGACCAGCGGCAGGTAGGCGGGCGGCGGCGGCGGCGCGCTTGCTCGGAAGGGCCCTCCGGGGCGCGGTGGGCGCAGAGCTGCCCTCTGCACTGGCGCCGGGGCACTCTTGCCCCCAGGGGCAGGCCTGGCTGCCGGGGCTGCCGGCGCGTGGCGCCCGCTCGTGGGGCGGCTTCCTGGGAGTCGCGCAGCCCCTCTGCGCGGCTGCGACGGCGCCTCCGCTGCGCGGCGGCTCGTGACGGGAAGCGCCGAGCGCAGAGGCGGGCTTGTTTTCGCCCCCGACCGGCTCCGCTGCCCCGCCCCTTCTGCTTCAGGCCCCGCCCCCTGCGCGACCCCCCCCCGCCGCCCTCAAGTCGCCCTCGGGCCCCGCGCTGCAAGGCGCTCCCGGCCCGGCTGGCGCCCGCGGCCCCTCCGCCGCGCTGCACGGCACGGCACGACCTGGCCGCGCGGGGACTTGTTCTTCCGGGAACCTGGGGCGGGGCGGGGCAGCGGGGCGCGCCCCCTCCCCTCCCCTCCCCTCCCCTCCGGGGTGCAGTGCGGGCTGTTGGCGGAGGCCTGTCCCACCTCCAGGCCGGCTACCTGGCTCGCACCTGCGGCTCGCGCGAGGCGCCTTGCTCGTGGCGGCTTGTGACCGGGCCGGTCCGTGTTCGCGTCCGGGCGGAGGCGCTTGCCTCGGCGCGGGGCAGCACCAAGAGCCGCCTGGAAGGCTTCAGGCTCCCCTGGAGTCGCCCTCGGTGAGGAGGGAGCCGGCGGCAGGTCGGAGCTCCCGGGGCGCCTTTTGAGGACCGCAGTCTCGTGGCTGGGAATGTAGCGCTCCTTCCTCTGCGCGGTCTAGGCTGGTACAGCTTCCTCTCCGTGGCATCCTCCCAACAACCCTGTGAGGGAGGCCAGGTGGACAGCCTCCCCTGCCGTCCCCCATTCAGTTCTGTGGCTGGGTGGGAGATCCGAACCTAGGTCTCCAGCCCTAGCCTGATGCTAGATGCAGCCAAGCCGCACCAGCCCTCGCTCTTGCAGTCTAGCCTACCTCCCAAGGTGGTTGAGAGGATAAACGTGGGGTCACCTTTACCCCAAGTTCCCCCAAGAGAAGAGTGGCCCAGAATGGCATACCTATTGTAGAAAGGAGACTGGTGGGCCTCAGTTTAACATCGGGCCCAGATTTGGGATGTGTGATGCCTGGGCGTGTGAATTTGCCCCCGAGAAGGATCAGGCTTACCCAGGAGTCGGTTGCCTTCGCAGAGCTTTTATTCCCCCCCCCCCCGTTTCTATTTGCCTCTGTCATCCTTCCCCAGGATGAGATCAAGGTGTTGTAAGCCGTCCCGAGGCTTCGGCAAGGGGTGGCATAGAAATATAATAATAATAACAACAACAACAACAACAACAACAATGCTGGACCTCAAATCCATCCCTTCCTTGTAAGCTTTGGAGTAATTAAAGTTAGTAGTTGCATCTCGCCTTAGCTCTTCCTGAGCCTTTGGAGTTCAAGAACCCAATTCAGAGAGTCTTAAAAAAGTTGTCTGTTATAGCCAAGTTCCGCTTTAGTGATCTGGCCGGCAGAGTTGTTCCTTGTTTTTCAGCCCCATCCTGTTTCAGTTCTCTTGTTTGGAGCAGGAAGTAAATGAGCTGTTCTGGATATCATTTCTTTCTCCCTGAAAAGATGGGGCACAAATGGTTCGCTTTCTCCGCCTCATGCAACCCTTGAATGCAACTTTGTGGGTCTGGCAGAGCAGCTGGGGCAGGACCCCCTCCTTTCACTTCGCCTGCCCCTTCTAGGAAGGTGCACCTCACCTTCTAGGAAACAGGCTTTGTGGTTGGCTGTGCACACCTTAGCAGCCATTTTGTGATTAAATAAGCCCCGCTTCGTGGCAGCCATTTTGTGCAAGTTCCCACAACCTTCTCCCATGGTCAGAATCTGCCGTGTGCCCACTGGCCTGACTACATCATGGACCCTTGGTGTCGATATGCTCCTCTGTAGAGTCATAGGAGCAGAAAAGCCAGTCTTTGCCCCAAGGAGCTTCCAGTCTGCATTCTGACAATAGGCGAGGCAAGAGTGAATGGGCATTTTACCTTGCAGCACATTCTAAATCAACTTGGGCCACTTAAGCTGCCCGGACTTGATTTTCCTAGGTGGGAATTTCTGGCTTGAGATAGATTTTTGCTGGGAATATAACCCCGATTACGCCCCGGTCCTGCATTACCAGAACCGGAATTAAACATTAGCCCATGTTTGAATCCAGCCTTGTCACTGGATTGACCGCTGGGTGAATGTGCTTTCCTAGGTGTATCTGGAATACAATCCCGGCTGGAACAGTTCTGCCGGCAATCTCCTGCATGTCCGGGCTGTGGGTCTTGAGGACACGATTCATTACATCTGGAGCACCATTGGCGCGCCCACAGTCCTGCTGGTGTACACTGGGAGCACCAACAGCGCCCTCCACGTCAACTGGACTGCACTCCTCTCTCCCTCTCCCTCCGGAGCAATCCGGGTCGAGCCGGCGACCAGCATCTTGTATTCCACAGCTGTCATCTTTCCCAAGGTCTGTTCCCAAGTCGCAATGCAGGTTTCCTCAAAAACTTTGCATGCAGACATCTTCTGGAAAACATTCCCATGCAAATTGCCGCAACTTCCATGGGCACATTTTCTGATGATCCTCTACAGCCGGAATGGGCAATTTCAGGAGTTCCAGATGTTTTGACTTGCAACTCCCATCAGCTCGGCTTGGCGTAGTGACTGGTGAAGGATTGTGGGAGTTGTAGGCCAAAACCTCTGAGTGGCCGCAAAAGAGATCTAGTTCAAACAGTTTGTTGTCTCCTGAATTAATTTTTAACTCCGAGCATGATGAGTATTTTACCTGAAGCCTTTAAGGAAAACCATTCAAGCTTGCTTAATGCTGTTAGGATTTTATATTGTAGCACTGAATGACCTGAAAAACACGAATGGTGACTTCAAAATTGCCAAGCTCAGCTAATACAGGACTTGCCTTTCGTAGCGATTGCTTGCGACTAAGAAACCTAAGCAATGGAAACGTCATGGGAAAACTAGGCCCCGGGAAGTTTTCTGCCCCCATCTCACTTTCTTAGCTTATAACGGGAAGCTGTACATGATGGAAATAAATAAAGATGGGGTGAAATGTCCAGCTGGGAGCGGGGAGGCTAGTGGGACGGATGCAGTCCTGAGACGGAGCCTCAGTGCAGGTCAGAAAGCCCCCCCACCCCTGCCTGGCCGGGAGAGCCTTGGCCAGCAACTCCACCTTCCGCGCCGACTCTCCCTTGCAGAGTAGTTGTACGGACAGAAGGGGCAGGGGTTGTGCTGGAAATTCCCCTGTTGTGGTCCCTCTTGACGGAGGCAGCCCCCTGGATGACGGGCTCCCCGTGAGGAAAGATCACAATAGTTGGAGCTCCTTGAAAGACGGAAGTAAGTGGAGCCGTGATGGAGTACGTCAGTATTCACAGTGTGGAGAAGGTGTGCAAGCAGGTTTGCTCCCTCCATGCTGGATCCCAGAAGGGCCATCCCATTAAGCTGTTTGACGGGTGGGAGACGCAGGTCAGACCCTCCTCAGACCTCCACTTCCTGGGGAACATGGGTGCTGGTGCACTTAGGACGTGTTTGTGAGCTTCCTCCAGGAAGCTAAGATGTCGGCTGTATGAACAGGAAGGGCGGCAAGGCAGGCCTCAGGTCTGATTCGGCATATCTTGTCTTGGCAATGGACAGCTAGATGAAGCAAGAGCAGGATCCGTGCCAAGATTCCTGATGCCATCGTTTCTTCGTGTCGCCGCCTGCAGGTATTCGAGTACAACGGCACCAAGACATCAGACCTCTCCAAGGTGGACGCTGGCGACTTTTACCCGACCTACGATTTGGCCAGGTTCACCTGGGACAGCCTGGATGGCCGGCTGAACAAGTCCACCCTGACCGCTACCTTTCAGGGAGTCAGCTCCGATCCTGGAACAGCCTTCTGGAACGGAAGCATTTCCTTTCAGGTGAACGAGGGCGAAAGAGGCAGTGTGGCTTGTACAAAGAGCACGTTTATTGAAATAGCTGCAGCCAGCGGGAGCTTGAGCCGGGCCACACGTTCCCTGCAGGCAGGGCTGTGGCACCTGCCCTCTTCCCGGGATCGATCGGACAGGCCAGTGTAAAGTTTGCATGGCACACATTGGCCATGCCCAGAACTTCTCTTGAACTCGGCTTATTCTGAATTCTGGACCGGCTTTTACAGAGTACAAGCCACTCCTGTGAGTCTTGGAGAGAGGCAGCCAGGAACGGTCTGGCACTGCTTGGGGGTCCATGCCCCGTTTGTGAATCACAGAGTGTCCCTTGGTCATTTGCTGTTAAAATGTTGGGTACGGTGATCCTGGGATTTGAGGAGGGGCAGTTTTGTAGTAGAGCAACTGGTCCCCCAGGACCCTCCTGGCTCAGTGTGGCTGGTGTTGTGTTTGTGCTTCTGTGATGTGTTGTCCCTTTCCTTGGTTCCTTCCTGCACTGACTGCAAGGGGAGAGGAGTTCAGCAGTGCCAAGCCATTTCCAGGCCTGTCTGAGGAGAGGAGCGGGTGTTGATCCTGCCGTCCATCGCCTCACCCCCGTGTCCTCTCTCGAGGCATTCTTTGAAATCAGGAGGGCCCTGGAAGCTGCTCTTTGCCAGCAGGCAGTTTAGAAAATAAAGGCCTGCTTATTTTTTAAAAAAGTCTATGCAAAATGACATACCGACCAGGAGAGGAAGGGTGCCGGCTGCCCGCCAGGCAAGGCGTCTCGGGATGCCAAGGCCTGTGGGTGGCACTCCCTCCGACCTGTTCAGAAGCAGGATTTCCGGGGCTTTGGGCCGGGGCCGGGGCATGGTCATGCGGGTCTTTCGGCGCCCGGCGCAGCCCGAGGCTGGCCCGACCCCCTAACCTGCCCCGTTGTTCTCCAGGTGACGGCGTACAAGGAGTCTGGCCGTGATGCGTCCCTCCCGCGCCTGCTGCACACGGCCAACAGCTCCAAGGTCGAGTTCGTCATGAGCGGGGTCTCGCCCCGGGGCAACCACTCGCGCTTTGCGCTGGAGGTGGTCACGGTGGAAGAGCGAGGCTGGCGGAGGCAGCTGCGCGCCGTGAGCTCCATCGACGATGAGTATAGCCCAACCATCTTTGAGGTAGCTCTCCGGGCTCGGCCGGTGTCCCCAGGGTTGTCCATTCCGGGCTTGGACTGGCCTTCCCCAGCCTGTGCCCTCCAGAGCCGTCCCAGGCAGCATGGCCAGGGATGATGGGAACTGTGGTTGAACGACATCCGGAGGACCTTTGCTTCCCTAGCCTGCTCCGAAGGCCGCCTTGTGTGACCTGTCGCTCAGGATGCCCACCTTGGAAAAGCAGAAACGGAGCAAAGGAAGCACACCTGGCTGTTCCCATATGTGGGGGAATCAAGGCTGCTGTTACAAGCAGGAGAGACTGCGGTTCTCCAGGTGCCGTCCAACTACAGCTCCCATCACCCCTGCCCCGTGGCTCTGCTGGCTGGGAATGAGGGCCGGGAGGACACCGTGTTGGAGGAAGCCGCCGTCGCGTCCCAGCCGAGCCACTTTCCCGTGGCGAGAGCGCGCACACCCGGGCGGAGAGCCGTGGGGCCTGGCTTTGCTCCGCGGGGGTTTGTGTGCCCGGCTCGGCTCGGCTCGCCAGGCCAACGAGGGCCTATTCTAGCAAGCGGCAGCTGAGACCCCGGGCCGGGCGTCCCGAGCGGCCTCAGTCGGAGCGCAGGAGGAACTGCGCTGGGGCAGGCGCAAGCCCCCCGTCTGCTGTCCCACGGGGCCCCAGCCGGATGCTGCTTGGTGCTCATTTGGGAGGGGCGCCCCCGCCTGCCCGCCCGCCCCCTGGCACCCAGGGCCGGACTGGTGCGGAAGGCGGAAGCCCCGTTCAGCTGCTGGCCACGGGGCTGCTTCCTCTGCGGCTGGTCTGGGGCGGGAGGCTGGGGGGGATTCCCGTGCGCGACCTCCTGTCCCCCTCAGAGCGGCAGTGACCCCCGGGGCGGAGATGACAAGGGCTCCCCTCCCCTGGCCCCCTCCCCCACCCAGCCTTGGGGCGGCACGTGGGCAGCCAGGGTGTTTGGCCCGCAGCAGGCCGGTGGTGGGCCCCTTGCCGCAACCGTGTCCTGCTGCAGCCCCCCGTGCCCATCTCACAGCTGCCCCCCCCCACACACACACAGATGGCGCAGCTGGTTTCTGAGCCGCACGACACGGACGTCGGGCTGAGCTTCCTCCAGTGGAAGACGGCGGCATACAGCTCCCGGCACGCCGAGCGGATAGACACCGTCCAGTGCCGGTACTACCCTCTGCGGACAGCAAACCGCACGGTGCCCCGGCCCAGCATTGCCCTCGCCTACTTCGGGCAGGAGCTGGAGAGAGACCACGCCGTGGCCGCCGTCAACATCTCCTTCGGCAGCGAGGACGACGAGGCTTACCAAGAAAAGGGCTACCTGAGCTGGTGAGGAAGGTGTCTGGAAGGCCGGTCTCTTTCAGAAGCAGGTGGGGGGCAAACATGCCCCTTGGCTGCCCCCTAGCCTCTCCTGGTGGCTGCGCCGCTGTGACCTCGCGGATGCTGGGGGAACATGTGCTCCCTGCGCTGCTGGCCGCCTGCCTGGAGTGGCGAGAGCAGGTCCGGTTTCGGCTTTTCTCTCGGGTGTCGGAAACCGTGCCCAGGTGGGCCACCTGTTCTCTGGAGCCGGAAGAAGTCCACAGGATTAGGGGGAGGGGCAAGGAAGGAAGGCTGCTTCGTGCTCGTGTTTGGGGAGGGGGTGCAAAGGGGCACGCGAGCTAGCAAGGGGTCTTGGGCTGCGGTGTGTGACGAGCCAGAGGCCGTGGCTGCAACGCAGGCGGGTCCCGTGGGCCTTTTGGCACAAGGGTCAGCCGTCTGTGTGGGACTCGGGTGGCAAATAGCCCCCTGGAGGGCTTTAAGGAGAGGTCGCTGCTCCTTTCGCATGGAATAGTTCCGTCACGGTCGGGGGGTCGCCCAGCAGACCTCGCCGTCGCTCTGCCATGGCCAAACAGCGGGACACCCCCGCAGTGTGTGAAGAATGAGCGTGGCTTGTTTTCCAGTGAGCCTCCCCCCCACCGCAGAATTTCGACAGCTTGCCTTAGACTTCAGGGAGCAGGACCCGATGACCTTCATGGCCCCTCCCAGCTCTACTATGCTATGATTCCCACCTCCTGCCTTGCAAGGAAAATGTGGGAGGGGGACTGTCCAGGGGGAACCATGAACTTCAGACTGCCCACCCCCTCAGCACGCGGGGCTTAGCCAATTCACACAGGCAGCAGCCATCTTTCCCTGGCGCCCCTGAACCTGATCGCCGGCTCGGCTTGCAAAGGGGCCTCTCGAGCGAGCAGCCTGGGTCCCCTTTGCCAAGCGGGAAAGGCGGGGGCCTGCCGCCAGCCAGGTGGCCCCACGTGGAAGCGGGGGTGGGGGGGCTCGGGCCTTACTGGTCCCTTCCCTCAAGGGGCCTGGGGGGCGGATCCCAGCCACGGTTCAGGTTTGCATGATTAGAATGGGGGCGCGGGAGGGACTTGGGGTTTCCTTCCAACCTCCTCACCCAAGTAAAGGCCCCGTCCTGTTGCAAAGGTGCTGACGGGCCTCCTTCTTAAGGGATAAGCCAGCAGTCAGTCCTGGAGGTCCCCAGGCCAAATCGCAGCGCTGGGCGTCGGGGGCAGAATCGAGCCGAGGGCTGACCTCCTCCTCCTCTTCCCCTTCCTCCTCTGCCCCTTCTCCCTTCCAGGTCCGCGCTGATTGGCTTCGGCGAACCCCCCATGGACTCCTTCTCCCCACTCGTGATCGCGATCCTTGCTGTGGCGCTGGGGGCCCCCGTGGTGCTCCTGGTTGTGGGGAGCCTCGCTGTGCTCGCCGTGGGGAATAAGCGGCATTCCGAGTATGAGCCCATCAACTGAGACTGCTGAGCCCCCTGGCTCTTTCCGCGGCTGTCTCGGGGGACGTCGCTTAGGGTTCCTGCAAGGCACTTTAATTTATCCTGAACTTGGGGCCCCGATGGGAACCCTCTGGTTGCTTGAACGTGTCCCACTGTCCTTAACAGATTCTGCGGAGCTGCAGGGAGACCTCCTTGTCCTGACGTGCCTCTTCCTGTCGAGGGGCAGCACGTCCTCAAAACGGCACCTCTTTCCCCCGAGGCAGCGCTCGCAACGAGCCATCACCCAGCCCGAGGGGCACGTGACACAGTCCGGCACCGTAGACTGGGCACTCGCATTTCCCAAGTTTGCCGTCTTAGCAGAATTCTGGCTTTTTGCGATTTGCTAGGCTGGAGGAGAACTTGGCGTTGTCTTCCTTCACCTTGAACGTCTTGTCCTGCCGCACAACCTGGTCTCTCCTCCCGGCAGCACTGGGGCCTGGCTTCCCAGCCCTTCTCACGTGGCTAGGCTGCTGCTGGCCTGTGGGGATCTGCTTGGACAGCAGATGGGCCACTGCCGTTCTCACAGCCTTCCCTCCCCAGTCAAAGATTCGGGAGTTTGAATTGCACTTTCACTGTTGCCCAGACCTTCCCACCTGCCAATGAAAAGTAATTCTGGTGCTGATTAATTTGTTTCTGCTCTGAAAGCCTCACCTCCCGGGCCTTCTCTCCCCTGCTATTGGCTCTTCAGGGATGGGGATGCTGGAGCACAGTCCTCGTGCCGCGAATCTTCCAGGAAGGCTCATCGCCGGGCTTTCTCCCCATGTTGGTACAGGGACACCAAAGCAGCGGGAGGACAGACGGGGGACAGCTTCTGAAAAGGGGTGAGCCCCTAGTTACGTTGTTTACAGCCTGTTTCCCACAGAGCAAGGCACAATTGCACTGTCGAAGACAAAACAAAGCACGTTTTCTTCTGAGATGGATGGGCAGCCTGGAGAGGCCTTGGGGGCCGCTTTACTCTGGACCACCCCCAAGTTCATGGGCTGCAAGAGTTAGCTGCTTCCCATGTGCCTCAGTGCACTGGTTATTTTTGTCTTCCCCGTTCCATGGCTTGCTCTCCTGATGCTCAGGGAACTGCTGGTGGCTCAGGGATCAGCGCCGGGCAGAGTTGGACCGCCGGAGGAGGCAGCAAGCCCTGGCCGGCACAAGCCAGACTGTTCCAGACCATCCCACCAAATTCCTCTTGGTTCCACAAGCATGGGCATTTTTCATCACCTTTAACTTAGGCATACCTGGCTGAGGAATGCTGGGAGTGCCTGTTCAGCAGACCTGGGTCTGGGGAAGGCCACCCGACGGCGACAGCACACGGGAGCCGGGACACAGGTGTGTGGACGGGAGCCAAGCCCAGCGAGCTTCATGGGCTCTTCCAAAGACCCACCTGCTGTCGCCGCCATCTTGGTTCTCACTCAATGTCGGGTGGCTGGACCAGGCTCCTTAGGGCGGGTTTTGGAGCCCTCAGCCAAGCCTCCCAAGGGCTGTTCCAGAAACAAGAACCGGCTGCAAAGTTCTCGCTCCGGAGGCAGGGAGGGAGGCCTCCTGCCTTCTAAGCCGTGGCTTTCCTCCTGGGATGCGCAGTGTCAAAATGTAGTTCAAAGGGATATATTTATTTGTGGTGGTTTTCTGTTGAGGGCTTCTGGGGATTCTCCACCCCAATTAGTCTTTCCCAAACCAATTAAAGAATACCTCTTTTCTCAGCAGAGTTTTATGTGGTTGCTGGACTCAGTTTTGTTCCCAAGGCTCGGTTTATGGAGGGGTCGGATCCTAACACACGTGTGTTCACAATCCCTCCTGGTACCGCTTCCTTTAATGCACTGATTGACAGATATTTGCAGGTTGTTCTTTTGCCTCTTGGGTAACAGAGACACAATAGTGTATATATTTGTTGCATTTCTACACCAGCTTTTTCCTCTTGCAAAGAATATGACATGCGCCATTCTTTTCGTGTTTCTTCTCCCACCAACCTTGCAAGGTAGCCTAGGTTGAGAGTCTGACTGGCCCAAGGTCAGCCAGAGGAGTCCGTGGCTGTGTGAAGACTGGAGCCGGTCTCAGTTCTAACCATGATATCCCACTGGCTCTCCTGTTCCTTCAAAAATACGTTCTGAATGTGGGAAGCGCAAGTGGAATGACTGAAAAGCAGAGACCACTTCTCTCTAAGAAGAGGGCCAAAGCAGTGGCGAACCTTCTAATACATGAGGGGAGCAACTTAACGGGGAAGAGGAAGATGTGAAGGCAGCTTTGGAAGCTGTGAAGGTCATACCTTTGCCCCTTCGCTGAGGGCACTGCTCTCCCAGGACACAGTGCTAGAAGGAAGGATGCCCAACAGGACAAAATACAGAACAGATTCAACAAAATGGGTGCAGCTGCATTATGGCTGAGTTTTGCACGAGTGGCGTTTCCGAGCCGTCCCCCAGTCCAGCAAGAGGGCATGAATAACCCAGGCCGGATCCTGCCCGCTTTTGCACACTGCAAGGCAAAACCTCCTCCTGCCCCCAGCGTTCTCCACTGTGTCTGCATGTCTCGCCCCACAACTAGTCCCAGCATTTGGGGCGCGCACTCTGTGCATCGATGCAGCATCGAGCTCCGTCTCTCTAGCCTCCCGCTCGGCCATGGAACAGAGAAGCTGCAATGCACGAGCGGAATCGCCAGCTGGGGCTCATACGGTCAAAATACGCTTTCCCTCTGGCATCCTTGATTAGCACACGAGCGACATGGTTGTGAGTAAAATCAGACTCTCATACAGCCTGGATTTTTGTTCCTCTGGTTTGGTATGAATTTAAGTGCAATTTTCTGGAGTGGGGCTGGGTGTATGTATGCATGGGAAGCTAGACCTGAAGCTTCCTGGCTTTCAAGCTGGGGATGATGCAGTTAAGCAATGCAAAACTTCCCCCGGCATATATAACCTTTCTCATGTAACTTAAGAATCACGGGTTGGATAAAAGTGGCCCTAAATTCAACCTGACCACATCCTATTTGGTCTTTTTTTTCCTGCTAGGACTACACTGTAGGACACGGGGGGGGGGGGTCCCGAATTTGGCCCCATGGTTCCTTCAAGAGCTGTGCCCCTTTCCTCCAAGCCCCACTCACCCCGTGTTTTGATGGTTTCCCGGCTTCAGTGCATTGCTCTCCAAATGCTTCGTTAAGGCGGGGAGTGTGCGAAGCGCAAGCGGCCGGCATCTGGCGCATAACTGGTCCCCGCCAGGCCTGCAGCTGGCCGAAAGTCAGGCGGCTGGCCAGAAGGCTGTGGGGAGAGCATCTGGGTCACAGGCCTTTCGAAGACAAAACGGTCAGTTTGTGAGGGGGCAAACGAACGGGGCAAGAGAACGTGGGAGGAGCCGGCCGCTTTGGCAGCAGTGCGACTTGTGCGAGCGCTCACGTCCCGGCTGGGATCTTGCATGTGTGCAGCGGCCAGCAAGCCCTCAGGGGCCGGGGGCCTGCTCTCTCGGCCTCCGCCCCCACCCCCGGCCACGTGGCATCAACAGTCGTGGCGCTAAGCGGCGACGCTGCAGCTAGGATTACGGGAACGTAATGGGTTCTCGGCCCTTTCAGACGCTCCATCGGCCGCTGGCTGGCCAGGACATCCTGAAATTGTAGGTCTCGCATCCGTTGGCACCCGTGGAGGATCGCTCCCTTAGGGTGACCCGTGCATGGATGTGCCAAGGTGTCCGTCCTTTGCCAGGAAGGCCGCCTGCCGCACCCGCCTTGCGCCTGGGTTGCCCTCCGAGGACTGCCCGTCAATGGGGGCGCCCAGTTCCTAACCTCGCTTGTGGATCAAAAGGCAGAAAAGAACACTCCCCTTTTTATACATCTTCCGCCCGCGCGTCGGATTGGGTGCTTTATTGTCAATTCAGCTGTGCCGCCAGAAAACAAAAGCAGAATTTACCGCAGCAGGCCGCTGCTGCCATTCGTAGGAGATTGTGTCTTTGTGCCTTGGGCAGAAATCACTGGGACTTGCACGTGGCTTCTCCCTACTCCCAAGTAGAGGCAGCGTTCACACGAACCGTCCCCACACTGTTAGCTGGACTGCCGCAGCTGCTCCGCTCGGGCCCTCCGGACGGGCACGTGGCGTGGCGGGGCCCTGCTGAGGTCCACGCCGAGCAGGGGCCCACGGACAAAAGCCCCTGGGCCCGCTTCTCCTCTGCCCCATTGCGCCCTGCTTGTTCCCGTGTCAGGATCAGGGCCCAAGTGACCCTGCGAGTGCCCGCAGGCCGGGAGCGCCCTTGGAGGCTCTTGCGAGGAGCACCTGAGGAGCAACGACCAGCGCAGAAGGCTCCCCGGCACGGCCACGCCGGTCCCTGCATCACCACGGGAGCGTCATTCCTGCCCTGCTCCAGCCCGCTCTCGTCCGGGCCGCCCTTCCGCCACAGCTTCCCCGGACGGCTCCTGATCCGCGCTCCCTCTCTCGCCTGCACCATGTCGGACGGCCTGCTGCCCACGCCACCCACCTCTAGCCCCGCGAAGCTGCGGGGCGGTCTCACTCCAGCACCTGGTCCCCGCGTCCTGCCTGTGCCAGCGGCCACCCGTGTCGGCCCATACGCCCCGCTCAGGGCGGTGGTGCTGGCGACAAAGGCGGCTCTGCCTGCCAGCCAAACAAGCAAACGGCAGCCCCGAGGAGGAAGAGGAGCGCTGGAGGTGTTGCGGGGGGGCCGCATGGAGGGGTGGGTCCTTTGAGGACGCCTCGCCCCAGGGCTCTGACGAGCAACGGCCTCTTGGCCCACCCCATGCCACAAAGCCGAGCTTTGCAGCCGGCGGCTGAGGCCTGCGGGGCCCACTCTGTGCTCCGTTGCGTCAGGCAGGCAAGCGTTCTCCGGCCGGCCAGGGGTCGGGGTGCCCTGGCTTCGCACGGGCCGGGCTCCAGGGCTCCCCAGAAGAAGGCGCAAAGTGAGGAAATCCGGGAGTCCTTCTGGAGCCTCCCCTCGGGTCTGGCTCCTCCGGAAGGGGGGGGGCAACGCTGCAGCCCGCCTGCCCCTTCAGCCCCAGTATCGCGGCTTGAAGGGCGCCGCCCGCTGCTCCTTCTCCGCGGGGGCCTCCCCGCTGCCCGCGGTGGCAAACATGCTCTCCGCATCCAGCAGGAACATGCTGTAGAGGTTGAAGAGCAGCATGGTGACGATCGGCAGGAAGGTCAAGCCGAAGCCGAAGCCCCGGAACGAGCGGCCCATGGCGTAGGCCAGCCAGTAGAGGAGCCTGCAGGGGAGGGAGAAGGCAGGTGAGGCGGCGATGCTCCTGCAGGGCCGTCCCTGGCCCTAAAACGGGCGGGGAACGCGGGGGCCAAAGCCAGCCCTCCTAGGGCCGCAGTCGAGCCCTCGGGCGGTTCTGGGCTGGCCAGGCCGGGGGCCCCTCCGGCTGGTGGCCTCCTGGACCTTCGTGGCCCGATCCTCCATGCGAGGAGGCCACCGGCTCACCCCCAGGGCCTCACGATGGGCTAATTCCAAGTTCAGGCCCACCTGTTGGCCCCCAGCCTGACCCACCCCCTGAATGTGGTTGCCGAGAATGCATCCAAAACCAAATCGGACCCACAGGCTGAACGAGGTTCTCTGCCCGTTTTCAAGGAAGGAATGCAGAGGTCGCTGCGTTTCGAATAGCCATGCAGGGCCAGGGACGGGGATCTCTGTAGCCGTATTAGAAGGCCTGGACTGCAACGGCACCTTTCGTGGGGCCAGCAAATCTTGCGTGGCCGCCAGGCGCACCCGTCTTCCCATCAGAACTAAGGCAGCAGGGAGTCTGCACTGTGGGCGAGAGCAGGGAGGAAGGCCGGTGCCGCCTCGGGTGCATCGCCCATTGCAGACGAAGGCAGGTGACGTTCACGGCAGCCGCGCGCCTCCAACACTTCGGACTTTCTTTCGAGATTAGCCAGTGCTCCTGGGGCTTCCGTTGTACTTCCCACGCGTGTGTCTCGGTGGCACGTGGAGCTCAGAGGGCCGTGGCCCTACATGGCTGAGCTGAAGGGGCTGTGTGTGGGCACAGGAGGATGCCGGAGAATCGGCAGAAGGGAGACGGAAACAGAACAAGGTTCCCTTTGCCTGCAGCCAGGGGGAGGGGGTGGGCTCGCGGCACGTGAAATGGATGCGTGGACTGCTCACACACGTGTGTGAGAGGGTGCACGCTCATGCACAGGTGTATAGGTGGTGATCTAGGGTGAGCAGAGAAATAGGCAGGGCGATGCCTGAGCTGGGAGAGGGTCATGGAGAAAAGCACTGTTTGAAGGAGCTCCACCTGCTGGGCTCAGCGCCCCCTTCCCTTGCACTCGGTCCTTTGGGCAGGTTCCCCATCTTTTGCCTCACTTCCCATGAGGGCACCCAGGGGAAAGGCGCCGATTGCCAAGTACGCAAGGCTTGCCCAGCCCTGGGCCACACTGACAGCCCGTAGCTCCCCAGGATTTCAGAGAGGGGGTCTTTCCGCCGCCTCCCCCGGCGATGCTGCAGTAGCCAGGACTGGCTCTGCGATCTCAGATGTGCAAAGCAGGGGCTGCCCCACTGATTTTGGAAACGTGCAGCCCATGTTTTACATTCCTGTGCAGGGCTAGAACTGCCCACTTCCTGCCCCCCAAGTAACCGTGTTCCCACCACCACCCGCGGACTCTGTCATGCAGGGAAGGAACCCTTCCCAACCCTTCCGGGAGAAATCCTTTCAGTGGAGCTGCTGGGATCTGAGCTCGCAAGCTTCCCAGAGCAGAGCAGGTCTGCTGCTCCGAGCCACAAGCCTTCGCCCCGTGGCCAAGCCAGCAACACCAGCTGCTTGTGGCTGGCGAACTGGCCGAGAAGCTGAGCCAGTAACACCCCACCGTGGAGAGAGGGGCTGAAATGTTGTTGCGGCCACAAAACTACGCAAGCGCGGTGCCTGAACTAGGCAACCGTATATTCGGCTGCCTCGAGTCATTTAGGGTGCAGGTTTGGACGGGAGAAAGTTGAGGGGCTTCTTTCTGGCTGAACATGCATGTGATGCAAACCAAGAACATAAAAGACCATTCAAGGAGTGTTGCTCGTTGCGATGCAGTCTGGAAACGCCCCGCTCGCTTCTATTTGTGGATTCCCGTTTAGTTGAATCTTCTTACACCTTCCCAAAGTGACACCACGCGGGTTACAGAGGCTCTCCAATGTGCTTCAGCACAGCTGCCTCATCCAGCCCCACTTCCTGAGCTGTTTTTTCAAAATAAAGTTTATTTTAATCTCGGAAGTTGGCTTTCTGCAACGTGAAGGGCTGGTCTCCACCATGGGGTTCAAACAGCATCTCTGTGTTGGAGTTCCAGTCTCTGCCATAGAACAAGTTTCCTGGGTGAACTGACTTTTACTTTCATCCGAGTTGTTGGACTTCTGGGAAAGGAAAGCTTTGCAGCCGGCTGTGCTTACATACCAGCAGTCATCTGATGAAGGAGCGATACTCCCGGGCAGCCATTTTGTGGGAGCGCCCTCAGGATGCTCTCAAAGCTCCAAATGGAAGCACCAAGCTTTGGAGACCCCACCTAACCGATAGATTTGCACCTGCGTAGGCTCAGGAAGGCTGCCAAGCAGATGCGTCCTGTCCTGACCGGCCCTCATTGTCGCAAGAACCATGTCACCTCCTCCTGGAATGGTTCTGTTCTTCCTCGGCTTAAGGCAGCCCCCTTTTCCGGGGCTTTTAAAGAGGGACTCACTCGGCCACTTTGCTTTTAAAGACCCGCTTGGCTTGAGGGCTTCACAAGGGGTTTCAGAGGCACTCTTTCGTCCTTGTTACTGTCTGTTTTTGCCATCTCCTTTTAACTATTTTAAACTCTTTAATTTCTTTTCCTGATGTTTTGATATTGTAAATGGATTTTTACCATCTGTTGCTATGGACTGTGCAGACTGCCCAGACAGCTTTGGCTTTGGGGTGGTATAGAACGAACAACAACAATTGTTCAATAATAATAATAATAAAATCATACAAAATCATCATCATCCAAGCTACAGGATGCAGGAGCAAGCCTGAGAGATGCAGGGGGTATTCTCGCTTACCGTGAAATTGCAAAGAGAGCCGTCAGCAACGGGATGAGCTTGAGGGCTTCCTGCGGTAGGTAAGTGGAAAGGACGGCGATGTTGAAAAAGTAGAGGATGAAGAGGTGGACCGACTGGGAGACGTAGTGGCGATGGATCTCCACCTCCCTGCGCAGCTGGCCGAAGGGCTGCAGAGAGGAGAAGCAGAGGCGGGACACCCCGTACACAACCATCCCTGCAGCGGGGAGAGAGCACAGCCAGGCATCAGGATGGGGCTGCCCAGCAGAGGCACCGAGGGGAAGCCCGCTGTGCTGGGGACGCTGGAGTGCCGGGCTGGGACCTGGGGGCCTGGGCTCACCCATGAAGCCCGCGTGGGCCAGCCGCTGACTCCTAGCCTACCTCCCAGGACTGTTGTTGCAAGGATGAAATGGAGAGGTGGGGGGGAGGAAACCCACCTTCCGGGGAAAATGGGTGGGACATAAATCCAGTGAATGAACGAATATGTTGTGTACGCCATGAACAGGGCAACCCTGTGCTGAAGGGAGGCTAAAGTTCTCACTGGGGTGACCAGTCAGTCACGCCCCCCTCCCCCCGCAGATGACAGCAACTGGCCTTGCTGGCTGGAACTGGTGGGAGTCGGAGTCCACCGATCTCCAGGTGGCTGCTGACCCTCGTGCCACAAACAGTTGGGCCAAGAGATGCTGCACATTCTGGATTAAGTTCTGCGCATTTGCTTCAAGTTGGATCGTGTGTATGTCTAGGCAGAAAGACAGACCTACAAATCCGAGCATATCCCAGTCAGCCCCAACTGGGGAATGCTGGGAGTTGAAGGACTTTTTCCCTATCCAGGTGTGCGGAGGATCGCATCCTATTTCGCCAGGCAATACCTAACCCTTTCCATGCCTGTCTTTACAGTCTTAAGGCCTAGAAGCAAGCCTGAGCCTCACTCCTGCACTTGTCCTTAAGAGCTTGCTCAGAAGCCACAAACGGGTGTGGATCAAAGGAGGATTCCTCTAGGAAAAAGGAATCCTCGGATCCCGCCTGGTTTGTTAAAAAAGGGCCGGGCAAGGTGGGGCACCTTTGAAGGCCCAGGAATTCCATCCTCCCACCTGGAACAGGGCCTGAAGAACCCAGGAAAAGTGTCACCGCATGGAGTGCGAGTTGCGCAAGCCCAGTCTGTGGGGTTGCACAAGAGGCTGGCTTTCCCAGGACGTGCCTGTTTAGGCAGCCGCCTAACTTCCCACTTCTATTCTTCTCTCCAGCTTGAGTCAAGGTGAGAGAGCATTTCATTTTACCATGTCTAAGGCAACAGGTCCCAGCTTGCCCCCATGGGCAAGGCATCTTGGAGAGGACTTCACTCGCAAGTTGCTAGTCCTTATGACTGCAGAGACAATCCACTGAAAACATCAGAAGTTAAAAATGGCGGAGCTCTGCCTTTCTGCCGCTTGTCCCTCTATGGAAACAAGGTATTTACAGAAAACAAGGGGACGTGGTCACAGATTCAATCTGTGGGTGTGCGTTGTGTGTGAGAAGCATTTCCCGCAAGGGCGGGCAACTTGTGTGTCCCCCGATGTTTTGGCCTGCGGTTCCCCCAGCCCTGGGCACCATCGCCAGTGCTTTGGGGTCGCACCTCGCCCGTATTACCCACCTATGACGATGGGAAAGGTGGCAAAAACACCACAGCGCAGCGTGTACACCAGGCGGGAGCCCATGGTGGGCATCCAGGGCACATCAAAGGGCAGGAAGACGTATGCGCCGTACAGCAGGCAGGGGAAGATGATGGCGGCGCTGATCATGGAGGCCAGGGCCTTGAGGCTGGCCGAGCTGCAGCTGCAGCGGCACCAGCGACGGCCCCTCCCTGCGCACGCCTTGGCCTGCTCTCCGTCCCCGCTGGGAGCATCCTCGAAGCGGGCCAGGTAACCGCGGGAGAGGAGGTTCTGCGCCTGGAGGGCGCCTTTCTCTGCCGGGCAGCGCATGGCCATCTCCGCATATTCCCACTGCGGCTGCTTCTCGCTGCCGGGCGGAGGACGCTGGATGCAGTAGGGGCTGATGGGGACGAAGGGGTGAGCCGCTGGCTCGGGCATGAGGCTGCCCTCGTCCTCGTCCTCCTCCTCCTCCTCCTCCTCCTCCTCCTCGGTGCTGGGAGCTGCGGGGAAGGCCTCGTGGACTGTGATGCTGCTCACAGCGGCCTCTTCTCTGCTCCCCTCGGGACTAGGCCTTGTGTCGGTCCCCGACGCCTCGAGCGTCACCACCGCCTCACAAGTCACATCGCAGCAAGACTGGCTGCACGGCAAGGTTGTTTCCAAATCCTCTGAACGCGGCTCGGGGGCGCCCCTTCGGGGGTCCGCTCCCAACACCACCATCGCCAGGTCCTCAGAAGGAGCGGCGGCCGCCATGTTGGGCCTCCAATCCAGCTTCAGGATGTTCCAGTGCCGAGTCCTCCAGGCTTCTCAATCTAAATTTGCATTGCAGCCATTTCTGCTTCTCCTGACAATGCCAGCTGTCTAAGTGGGCAGAACAGGTCTAGAGAAATCTGGGAAAGAAAGGTGACTAAGTACCCTTGCACTCTTTATGCTGACTCATCTCATTTTCTCAACCGTGCTTTGCGAAAGGATGGAAAAGTATACACAATAAATTGGTGAAAGGGCCCTGTGGGGACAGCCTATAAATCGGGCAAGCAAACACTGGGCGTGGAAAAGCAGGTTTCCCTTGCTTGGTTCTCTCACAAGGGTCTATGCAAAAGAACACGGAACCCGTAGGCCTGAGCCCAGGTTAATCTTTAAAAAGTGGCACCACCGAGCCCAGACCCAGAGTGGAATCTGCCGTTCCTCTGCGCTGGATGGCTGGATGGCCACCCTCCAAAACCGGGGTCAGATAAGAGCAAATAACGGAGAGTCTCGGTTACTCAGCAAGGGCAAATTGGATTCCACCTGCCTTTCCAGAAACCTCTGCCCGACCCAGCCTTCTTGGCCTGGAGGGGGAAGAGCAGAAACGTACCCCTACCTGTTCAGCTTTTCATGCTTGAGACCCCTCCCAAGCCACCTGTGTGGGTGTCATTTGTCCCTTAAAGACGTGGCACCCATGCAGCTCTTGCCTCTCTGTCCCATTAAATTATAATCTTATAATAAAAGGTTGCAGCTTCAGGTTCTTTCCCCGGTTCTTAAAGCAGTCACCAATCCCCTGTGCAGCAGGCGGGAACAGCAGGAAGGGGAGAGGAAGAGAAAGGGGAGAGGGGAGGAGTGTGGGGACACAGAGTTGAGGGGTGGGAAGAAAAGCGCAAGGGGACTGGCTGGGCACAGAGAGAGGTGCTGGCATCGCGCCGTGGGGAAGGCTCCAGTCTGTGAAGCTAGCGGGCGTGGGTTCGATTCCCGCTGTGTGCTCCTGGGAGGCGGGTGCAGCCAGGGGAAGGGATATGGCAGCTTAAGGATTACGGGGGGGGGAGCAATTTGGCCCCCGGTTCTGCGCCCCTGCCCTTGTTTTCCAGAGCTGGTTTGCTGCGACTTTGCTGGGCTGTGTAGTCAGTGTTATAGCTCTGACTGTGAAGAAAGTCAAGGAGGCCGAAGGAGAGCCAGGTGCTCCCCCCGCTTTAATGGCCCTCCTCCTCCTGCCTTGTCTCTCCTCCTCGGCCACGGCTGGGCCCACAGCTGGCTTCCATCTTAAAGTCAGGCCTCCAGGCTCCACGGACTGCCTGGGGACTCTCCAAAAACAGGCAAACCCGCCATATGCAAAGAGAAGCTGCTTTGTACACCACTACCTGGAGTGTTTTGGTTTAGGTATTCTCTTCCGCTCCCTCTTTTTAAAGCTGTCCCTTGGAATGAGGGGAGAGGGACTCTGCACATGCTCAGAGGCATAGCCTCTGAAGGATGGGCATTGCTACATGATCCATCCAGTGGCAGATGGGTACCCCTTAAAGGCAGGTGCCCCTTTTTCACCTAACCAGGCCATGTTTTTTGGCTACTCAGGCCGTGCATAGGATTGCTCCAGAAGGTCACAATTCTACTTAAATTTACTTGGGAGGAAGTGTCTTCCTCTTAGCATGGTGTCCTTGCTTCTTCAAAGCAGTGCAAGCTTTGGCAATGGGGCGGAACAGAAATGAAATAAAAATAAAACCCAAAATAGGAACATCAGAAGTTCCCAGAGACTGAGTCATCCTCTGGTCCATCCAGCCCAGGTCTGCCAACACTGGCCGGCAGCTCTCCAGGGTACTGGGGAAGTATTTCTCACAGCCCTCCAGGGAGATGCTGGGAATCAAACACATGCTAAGCACCAGCGCCCCCACGGAGCTCAGGACCCTCCCCCCCCCACACAGATCACACTGTTTGGGGACAGAACTTTCCATCAGCTGGAGACCTGCATCTTGCCTCTGGGTCCCCAAATCCTGCGGAGACCACCTGCCCCATTGCTGTGCTGTCCAGGGCATCCAACACCCCCCCCCCCCC